GCATGGCTTTGATGATGATGGTCGTCGCTATGACAAACATGGTAACCTTCATCAATGGTGGGATCTACAATCCTCCGAAAAATTTGATCAGCTCAAAAAAATATATGGGATTCAGATATGGCTCCCATATATTTTTTTCGCCTGGACCGATTTTCACGAAACTTAACACACATCATTCTAGACCTAATTCATTACGTTAGCGAAATTTCGTCCAGATTGAAATGTATATAGGGACTTTGGTACACCATTTACCTTAAATCGGACGAAAAAATATATGGGAGCCATATCTAAATCTGAACAGATTTTCACGAAACTTGACACACATCATTCTATACCTAATTCATTACGCAATGCAAAATTTCGTGCAGATCGAAATGTATATAGGGACTTTAGTACACCATTTACCTTAAATCGGACGAACATATATATGTGAGCTATATCTAAATCTGAACCGATTTTTCCCAATTTCAATAGGGTTCTTCCTTGGGCTAAATAGGTGACCTATGCCAAATTTCATCCAATTCGGATCATAAATGCGACCTGTAAATTGTTTACAATTTTACATGGACAGACAGACGGACGGACGGATAGACGGATATGCATAAATCGACTTAGAAAGTGATTCTATGCATATTATTAAAAGAAACCATGTGTCTATCTCGTTTCCTTTTGCCTGTTACAAACATGTGCACAAAGACATAATACCCTATACCACAGTGTGGTGAAGGGTATAAAAATCAATGCCTTTGAATGGGTCTTAGAAAAACTTTTCTTTGAATTTTATTTTTTTATTGTTTTTAATTTTTTTACTTTATGTCTATTCTCTATACTAAAATTATCATCCATTGTTACATCTGCAAAAGAAGAAGAAACAATTAAAATTTTTAAAATTTCGAATTTTGTTAAATTACTCATTTTTACCACTTCGATGTATTCCTGGATGGCAGGGAGATCTTAACTAAATTCCTATTTAGTTATTTGTTCCTAATAAATTTCACATTTATTCGAACGATTCATATTACTATCCGGCGGGCAATTAAACTCCTTAGAGAACTCTTCAAAATTCGACAATGGTCCAATGACACGATATTTCCCCGGTACATGTAGATCAGTGGAGGTTTGTAAATTCTTCACCACCGGATGGACATCATTGCACCATAATTGAGCATAACTGATAAAGAATAGCTTCTTTCCGGAATATTGAAAACGTGGCAGGGATTCAATAGGCAGCACTCCCGTCGAACGAGCTTCATCTTCATACCAACGTAAATAGGCAGCATAGGCCAGGCGAACACCGCCATTATCGGCAATATTTTCCGATTGTGATTGCATTTCGGGTAATTTACGACCATTATAGGTATAATTTTTATATTGATCTATGAAACATTTGGTACGATTTTTAAAATTCTCCGTGGAGGTGGCATCCCACCAATTGTGACTGTTGCCGGCCTTATCGAAATTTCGTCCAGTATCATCGAAACCGTGTATTAGCTCGTGAGATATCAACGAGCCCAGGGTGGCATATTGTACAGCATTCGGATAGAGATTGGACCAGACAAAATAGGGTTGTAGCAACGAAACCGGGACTTTGATTTTATTCTCCACAATAATGTTGGCCGGGGTGAATGATAAAATTTCTCCCGCCTCCAATGCTGAGGGTGGTTCCTGTAGTTTTTGTCTTGTATTGCGTACACCTAAAATCATGGCCGCTTTCAGATTTTCCAAAAAGTTCTCCTTACTCAATTGAAGATCAGCCAATTCGGCGCTGAAATTCCGCTGTTCATACGAATTAATTTCCAATTGCATGGCTTTAAGTTTTTCAATGGCATAGGAACGGGTCTCCTCACCAATCCACTGCAGTCGCTCTGAAAGTAAAGTTTGTTCGAATGTTGTCTGGATTTCATGCCACATAAAATCAATGGCCTTGCCGGTATTGTTGTTGCTATTGATTCGCCTATAGATAATGTTATCGAGATTTTTGGCAAAATACCGCTTCGTTCGGCTGATACATTTAGACTGCAACTCCTCATGACTTCGGGGTACCTTGACCATAAAATGTTCAAGGAAATTATAAAAAATGTAATTGGCCACGACGCGGCGTGGTGTCTCCTTCACCAATTGAATGACATTTTTCTGATAGTCCTCGGCCATTTCATAGACCTTATCGGTGGGTGTGTAACCCAATGAAATATTGATGTATCGCCTCAAATCCAAATCTTGACCATATTTTTGAACCAAATCGTCAATAGTTGTGAGTTGGGTAATATCGGTTACCTGCAGACCGGCGGTGGCATCTATCATACCCTTGGCCAAACCAATTTCAAATTCCAGTAACTCTTTGGCTGTTACCTCGGCCAATTCTTGTGGCAGTTTCAAGAAGCGTTGTAGATTCTTCGACATTTTACTTTTGTAACCCTCACGATATATGGCATTACCCTCATCCAAATACATAGATTTCGATTCCAAAGGTAAACCACGATAACCAATATATAAACGATTCGTCGTGGTATCGGCATAGTCCACCATTATATCATAGCCGAGAATTATGTGTATCCCATATTTGTAGGCCATTTTCCCCACCGTTGCCAACCAATCGAATTCATGGCGCTGCCATCGATCACCAACCAGTACCGGCATTTCTCCAAATTCTTCGGAAATTTCCAATAATTTTTCCCGATACACATCCTTGAGCGAAGATAAATTCATGCATGAATCATAGAACACTTTCACCTTACGATCAATCTCATTGAATCCCGACACATCATCGGAAGTTAAAACCTCGGCGATTTTACGATTAAACGATTTCAACACAGCCTCAAAAAATCCCGTTGAGGCACGTTCCAAGGTATTGGCGGGATTATAACGATTCCATTTGCCACAGGCAAAGGCATAGAAATTATCACAAGGATCGACAGTTTCATCCATTAAATTATGGATCTCCGCTGCCTTTGAAAGGCGTTTAATTTCCTGATTAAACAAATCTTGATCTGCGGGATGGCCAGCAGCAGTGCCCCAGGTGCATAATATTGAATACAAAATTAAAAAATAAAACACTTTCGACATTCCGAATTGGTTAGGTGGTCGGTTGGTTGGTTGGATGATCTTGACGTTATGATTTCAATATTACAACTGAACGGAATGTCGATGTCGAATTCCTTGTGGTATTTTATTTATTTATCAACAAACGATTCATGAGCTCACACACATTTGTGTGTACATAGGGATATTTTTTGTTGTTGTATAGCGATAAGCTTATCTCACTTTCTCCATAACCGCAGGAAATATTTATTTTCTCTTCTCTCTTTCGTGCGTCTTAAGAGTAAGCAATGGTTTGACCTGAACAGTAAACGCTCTCTGTGTTTTTGGTTTTAAAAATAATTTTCAATATCGATGGCTGTGGTTAAATCAGGTATTTAAAAAAATATGATGTCACAACAATTCTTATCTTTTATTTATTTTGGATCAAGACACACAAAAACACGGCTTTGTTTGCATGCACTCTAAATCTGGCAAATGGTATAGGTAATTTTGAAATTGTATTTGTTTTGATTACGTAGAAGCAGGGAAGCCTTTGAATATACCTAGAAAATAGGCATGTATTCTCAGAAAAACATTCTTTAAAAAATCCACGCCTTATGGATGGTCCTTAAAAAATATTCTTTAAAAAATCCACGCCTTATGGATGGTCCTTAAAAAATATTCTTTAAAAAATCCACGCCTTATGGATGGTCCTTAAAAAATATTCTTTAAAAAATCCACGCCTTATGGATGGTCCTTAAAAAATATTCTTTAAAAAATCCACGCCTTATGGATGGTCCTTAAAAAATATTCTTTAAAAAATCCACGCCTTATGGTGGTCCTTAAAAAATATTCCACGCCTTATGGATGGTCCTTGAAAAAATATTCTTTAAAAAATCCACGCCTTATGGATGGTCCTTGAAAAAATATTCTTTAAAAAATCCACGCCTTATGGATGGTCCTTAAAAAATATTCTTTAAAAAATCCACGCCTTATGGATGGTCCTTAAAAAATATTCTTTAAAAAATCCACGCCTTATGGATGGTCCTTGAAAAAATATTCGTTAAAAAATCCACGCCTTATGGATGGTCCTTAAAAAATATTCTCGAAAAAATTAAAAAATCCACGCCTTATGGATGGTCCTTAAACAAATATTCCTTAAAAAATCCACGCCTTATGGAAAAAATAGTCTTAAAAAATATTCTTTAAAAAATCCACGCTTATTGATGATGTCTTTAAAAATCCCGTTGAAAAAATATAAAAATCGTCGAAAAAATAAAAAATCCACGCCTATTGATGATACCCGATTGACCTCGAAAAAATATTCTTTATAAATCGACGCCTCGAAAAATAGTCTTTTTAAATACACGCCTTTGGGTTGACCTCAAAAAGATATTCTTTAAAAATCCACGCCTTTGGATAGACCTTTGAAAAAATATTCCTTAAAAAATCCACGCCTTCGGATAGACCTTTGAAAAAATATTCCTTAAAAAATCCACGCCTTCGATAGACAACGAAAAATATTCCTTAAAAATCCACGCCTTTGGATAGACCTCGAAAAAATTGTCTTTAAAAATATTCCTTAGTCTTTAAAAATCCACGCCTTTTGATAGACGAAAAAATAGTCTTTAAAAATCCACGCCTGTTAATGATGACCCGTTGAAAAAATATCCTTTAAAAATCCACGCCTTTGATAGACCTCAAAAAAGATATTCTTTAAAAATCCACGCCTTTGGATAGACCTCAAAAAGATATTCTTTAAAAATCCACGCCTTTGATAGACCTCAAAAAATATTTTTAAAAATCCACTCCTTTGAATGGGCACAAAAAAAGTTTTAAAAAATCCTGTAAAAATGTCTTCCTTGGTCAATTTTTTTAGGAATTTTTTAAAAATTGAAACATTTCAAAAAAGTATAGGTCAACAATTCCCCATTTATTAAAAAATAAAAAAACGACAACAAAAATCCTTCATCACAAAAAAATTAATAAATTATACACTTACTAACCGGATTCATATTACTACCCAGGGGGCAATTAAATTCCCTAGAAAATTCCGGAAAATTAGACAGAGGACCAATTACACGGAATTTTCCCGGAACATGGGTATCTGTGGAGGTTTGTAAATTACGCATTGCCGGATGGATATCACTGCACCAGATTTGGGCGTAGCTAATAAAGAACAACTGTTTGCCATTGTACTTCAATCGTGGCAGGGTTTCACTTTCCATGTTGTGGCGGCTACGCATGGCATTATCGTACCAATGTTGATAGGCCGCATAGGCCAAACGTACACCACTATTATCGGCAATATTTTCCGATTGTGATGCCATTTCGGGCAACAGCTTGCCATTGTAAATATAATTCTTGTATTGGTCCACAAAACATTTGGTACGATTTTTAAAAGCTTCCGTGGATTTGTCATCCCACCAGTTACGACTATTGCCGAATTTATCAAAATTCCTACCGGTATCATCAAAGCCATGTATAAGTTCATGGGATATTAGAGATCCCAGGGTACCATATTTCAATGCATTGGGATATGTATTGGACCATACATAGAATGGTTGCAGCAGGGAGACGGGGACTTTGATACGATTCTCAATTAGAATATTGGCGGGGGTGAATGATAGCAATTCTCCAGCATCCAATGGTGCGGGAGGTTCGTATAATTTCTTCCGCGAATTTTTGGCACTCAACATCATTGCCGATTTCAGATTCTCCACAAAATCATGTTTGTTCACAACGAGTTGACCAAACTCCTCACTAAAATTCGTCTTCTCATAGGAATTAATTTCAATTTTCATGGCATACAACTTCTCCACAGCATAGTTGCGGGTCTCTTTCTTGATCCAATTCATGCGATCCGAGAGTAGCATTTTCTGAAAGGTATTCTGTATTTCACGCCACATAAATTCCACACCTCTCTCCGTGTCATTGGTATTGTAGATGCGATAGACCATGTTATCCAAATTTTTGGCGAAATATTTCTTCGTATTGGCAATGCATTTCGTGCGCAGTTCATTTTTATTTTTCGGAATTTTCAACATGAAATTTTCCAGCAGGGTGTAGAATATGTAATTGGCCAATTGACGTTTGGGTGTCGTCTTTAGTAGACTTACGAGATTTATTTGATAATCCTCAATGACTTCGTAAATCTCATCGGTGGGCAGGGAACCCAACGAAATCCGTAGTAATCTCTTGATATCCAATGTGGGGGCATATTTCATTTGCAACTCATCAATGGTGGTGAGGCTGGTCAGTTCATCCAGCTGCAGACCCAATTTATCATCAACTAAACCCCGGGCAAGACCTATTTCAAAATCCAAAATTTCCTTGGCCGTCTGCCGGGCCAACGAGGCCTCAACACCCAAAAATGTTCTCAAATTGGTGGCAATATTTTCCTGATATTGGTGACGATAAATGGCATTACCTTCCTCCAAATACATAGATCTCGATTCCAGTGGTAGCTCAGCTTGACCCACATACACCCGATTCATCGAATTATCAGCAAAATCAGCCATAATATCAAAGCCCAGCATAATCGATATTTCATATTTATGGGCAATCTTGGCAACAACCTGCAACCAATCGAACTCATCCTCCTGCCAGTTATCACCCTCCAAGACAGGCATCGAACCAAATTCCTTAACTATGGCCATTAATTTATCCTTATAGGTGGCCTTCAGGGCCGACAAATTCATACAGGATTCATAGAAATTTTTCACTTTCTTATCGATGGCCGTATAGCCCTTGGCATCCTCATCATCTGCCAACACCTCGGCTATTTTACGATTTAATGCCTTTTGGACAGTTTCAAAGAAACCCGTCGTAATGGTTTCAAATGAATTGGCCGGATTAATGCGATTCCATTTGCCACAGGCAAAGGCATAGAAATTATCACAAGGATCAACTCGCTCATCCATTAAATTGTGAATCTCAGCGGCCTTGGAATAGCGTATAATATTTAACGTATATTCATCGGAGGTATTGAACGAATTTCCATTGACTCCAATTGTGGCAATAACCACAACGATTAGCCATTGTTTTATCATCTTGGCCAAGTTAGAATTTATTTTTTTATTTTTTATAATATTTCTATGTCGATTCTATACACTTCGATTTCTAATTTCCAACTGATTGGTGCATTTTCTGTTCTGTTTTCAATTTCTATCATCTGGCCTGGGTTGTGTTTTGTTTCTTTTATGATTTACAGCCTCCAAAAATAGGTGACAAAGGTTATCAGCAGACTGCATCGTCAATGAAATTCTTTCATAGATCTATCAACGATTTTTTTACTATATAAATTATATTCTCTTAAAATAAGAAATAAGAGAGTAATACTTCTCTTTGTTGAATAAAAAATAGGTTAGAACATCGCATAAAAATAAAGCAAATTTTTCTATATTTAGTTTTTAAACACCTATTGTAGTCCTTCGGAAAAAAATATTTAAACAAATCCACGCCTATTGTACTTACTTACTTAGCTGGCTTGTGACAGAACTTTCGTTCCATAAGCCGAGACTTAGGAAAGATTTCCAGGAGCGTCGGTCTTTTCCGCAGTTTTTCCAATTTGAAAGACCATTTTCGGTAATGTTGTCTTCGACTTCATCTGGTTCGCTTTTATATGCCTTCTGGGCTGAGGCATCTTCCTCCATTCTCACAACATAACCTAGCCAATGTAGTCGCAGCAGCTCAATACGTCTAACAATGTCGATGTCCGAGAATAGCTGGTACAACTCATGGTTCATTCGACGGTGATATTCACCGTCAACGCAGATCGGCCCATAGATCTTTCGGAGAATTTTTCTTTCAAACACTCCAAGAACTGCCTTTTCTGCTTGCTTAGGTACCCATGCTTCAGATCCATATAATAGCAAGTCTAACAACGTCGATGTCCGAGAATAGCTGGAAAACGCAGATAGGCCCATAGATCTTTCGGAGAATTTTTCTCTCAAACACTCCAAGAGCTGCCTCATCTGCTTGCGCAAGTATCCATGCTTCAGATCCATATAACATCACTGGTAGTATCAGCGTCTTGTAGAGTGTGAGTTTGGTCTGGCGGGAGGTGGCCTTGCTTTTGAGTGGTTTGGTCAGACCATAGTAGCATCGGTTGACCACCACTATCCTTCTCCGAATTTTAAAATTGATGTCATTCGTTTTATTTATGACTGTACCAAGGTATATAAAATATTTAACTACCTCGAAGCAGTAGTTCTCAAGTTCAACAGCTGGTCCGAGTCTACTGGACGTCTTGCGCGTTGATACCATCAGCATGGTCTTCTCGCCGTTTACTGCCAGACCCAGTTTGGCGGACTCCTTCTCAATTTGTTCAAAGGTGGCTGTTCGACCCATTATGTCGATGTTATCGGCGTAGGCGAGTAACACGAGTTGTTTGGTGTACAGAGCGCCATTTCTGTTCACATTGGTCTCTCGTAGGATAGGTCCTTTCCGACTTTAACTGCTGATCTTGTACCAGTTAAAGTTATCCAGCATTGCCGGAATAATTTTGCAGGAATGCCAAACGCAGACATGGATTTATTCACCTCTGAACGAATAGGGCTGTCGAATGCGGCTTTATAGTCGACGAATAGGTGGAATGTGTCGATGTGTTTTTCGTGGGTTTTTTCCAGGATTTGACGCAAAGTGAAAATCTGGTCAATGGTGGATTTGCCAGGTCTGAAGCCGCATTGATATGGTCCAATAATGTCATTGGCCATTGGCTTCAGTCGTTCACACAGTACGCAGGATAGAACTTTATATTCGATGGGAAGGAAACTTATTCCTCTATAGTTGGCACATATCGTCTTGTCTCCTTTTTTTTTTGCACGGGACACAGGATGCTGAGGTTCCAATCATTGGGCATGCATTCTTCTAGCGAACTTGTACTTATCAGCTGGTGCATGCTCCTTACCAGCATCTGACCACCATTCTTGAATAGTTCGGCTTGTAACCCATCGGCACCTGCTGCTTTATTATTCTTCAGTCGATTGATTGCTATTCCTACTTCATCTTGGCTAGGTGGTATACACTCTATACGTCATCTATTATTGGATCTGGGGTATCTTCTTCACCGCTACTATTTGATACTTGAAGTTTTTCAAAATGCTCCTTCCAGATCCTCAGCACGCTGTCTGTCTCTCTCACCAGGTTTCCTTCTTCGTCTCTACAAGAGGATGTGCCTGCACCAAAGCCTTCAGTTTGGTGTTTAACCCGTTGATAGAATTTTCGGACTTCATTCCGACTCCTGTGCATTTCGATTTGCTCACGCTCACGTTTTTCTTTTTCTTTCTGAAAATATGTTTCTCCTCTCTCCTTTTCTCCCGACAGTTCTCCATCGCATCATGTGTTGCTACTGTCCGTAGGGTTGCCCTATACGCTGAGTTTTTTCATGTTAGTAGCATTACGACACTCCTGACAAGATGTGCTTTCATAAATAAGGTGGGTAAGATGAGCGGAGTAGGCCTCGGCTAGCTTTTGTGTTTGCAGCTTTTCGACGTCAAATTTCCGTGTTGTGTTAGATCGCAACTTTGCTGCAACATTAATTAATAGAGCGAACATTGGCTGCTACAAGGCAGTGGTCCGAATCGATATTCGCTCCCCGGATAGATCGGAAGTCTAAAACACTGCATGAATGCCTTCCGTCTATGACAACATGATCGATTTGATTTCTCGTTGTTCGATCGGGAGAAATCCAAGTGGCCTTGTGTATATCGAGATGCTTGAATCTAGTGCTGCTAACTACCATTTTTTTTTTGCTGCCGCGAAGTCAGTTAACCTCAAGACATTGTCTGATGTTTCTTCATGGAGGCTGAATTTTCCGACGGAGGGGCCAAAGATATTTTACCTTCCTTAGTGTCATGGCCAGGGCAACGGTCATATGCTGTTTCTAGGCGCTCGTAAAATATGCCTTTTGTCTGTTCATCTTTATCTTCGGTCGGTGCATGGGCGCAAATAAGACTGATGTAGAAGAACTTCGCTTTTAATCGTCGTCGCCTAATCGTCTGATTTACTTACGCTAGTCCCACATTCCATCGCATTTCCCGTAAGGCAATAATATCGGCTTTGTACTTCTGGAGTACATCCGCCAAAGCGAAGACTGCGACTGTTCTGTACAACGTGCGCACATTCCATGTGCAGATTCGCAGATCGTGGTTCTTTATACGTTTGCGGGGGTCGTCAACATTAGGTGGGTTTGGTTTTCTTTTTCTTTGCTTTTTCATAGTAGGTTGGGTTTTCCGAGAGTGGGCAACTAACCCGACGCCTCAACCCATTTTTTAATAGTTCTTATGGATGAACTCGCGGCACATATTAGCTCACTATTTCATCGGGTGATGAAAATATCTACCCCAGGTGTTACCAAGGGGTGGTCAATGTCCACAATTTAGATGAAAGAGGGACCAAGATAAGCCTGGGCTTCGCCATGTTAAAGCCAATCAGAGCCGTTGCTTGGTATCTATTATTTCCTACGCCACCCAATTGTAGTCCTTTGAAAAAAAAAATGTTTAAAAAATACACGTTTATTATTGAGTTCGTCAAAACAATTATGCCTATGACTGTACAATAATCACTTCGAACTCAAAACACAGCTGTCATATTAGACCTACTTTAATATTTAAAAAAACGGCGTTGCATGCAAGTAATAAAAACAAAAAAAAATTTTGACACGCAAACATTTTATTTCCAAGACAAACAAGTGAACCACGTTCAGCACGTGTGAAAACAAAACAATGAATTATGCTTTTTTTGTTTTTGCAAAGTTTTCCATTTTCCTAGACAGACATAAAGAAAATAAATACACAGCAGAGAACAGCTAAACCACATGCTGTTAAAATAAATGAGCTGAGCAGACAAATGAATGTCGGCGGGAAGCTGGATTTCCCATTGAGAATGGTTCTAGCGAAAACATTTGGTACCACCGAACACGAGAACCAGAAGACCACGAAAGATTTCGTGACCACACAATTTATACGAAACAGTATCCCAAATTAAATAAGATGTTGAATGTAAAAAATAAATAAAATATATTTTATTTAAAACTTCGGAATATAAATATTTTAAGAAGACTTCAATAGGTTTAGATTTTTATACCCTACACAACTATGTTGTCAGGGTATTATAGCCAAAAATTTGTAACGCCGCGAAATATTGGTCCTAGACCCACCTTAAGTATATCGATCATATCTCGACTAGCTGAGTCGATCTAATTTGTAAAAACCCGATACAGGCCACGGTTATGGACCAAACTTCATCCAATCTTGCATGTAGTATGGGTTCTGGCCAATGAAGACCCCTATTGGTTTTGGTAATGATCGGTTAATGTTTAGGGGATGAAATGGACCAAAAACTTTATTTTTGTCGGTTTTTCTGGTCTCTCCAGAGGCGCACTTATGACCCAAACTCCGCGAATTTTTGCATGGAGAAGGGGATCGGGCCAAAGAATAAGCATGCCTGTTTTATATAAAGATTGGTCAATATTTAGCGGATCAACTGGACCCCGACTTTTGTGTGAAAAATTACAAAATTTGTATCCTATAGCGTATAGATTTACCCCTGAAGGGCATAGGCCCGAGAAGTTGATAGTATACCCAAGAGGTGTGGTTGACCTTTAAATTGATATAAATTTTATTGTCGTGTGTACTCGGATGTGGGAGTTACACTTAAATATTTACAGGTGCTTACGTACTCAAATATCATTTAGTAACCCATTACCACACTAGAGGGCGAAATATACCGCTGATCGCTTTGAAATGTTCCGTGAGTTTCCCGTTATGGTCAAGGACATGCCTGTAATTTTCGGTGATGATCAGATAATAATTTTGGGATGAAAACTTAATTTTTTTCTTGAGTCAATTTATAGGCCACAATTAAAGCCGAACATCACAACACAAGCCACGGTGAAGGGAATCTGGGCAAGTAATTAGAAGAACTGTACTGGATATTAGTAATATTTGTTGATCTCTAGTCAGTCAAGAGGGTGCAAATATCGCGAATATAGAACTACACAAAGTGAGAATATAGAACTACACAAAGTGTGATTTTCTAGGAAGTTGTG